TGTCATGGCGGGAAAATCCGGACCAGCAAACCCAGTCACTTGTCACGGGACACCTCCAGCAGTTTTTTTTCTCCAGAAAGTGTTATGTCACAGCCAGTGAGTAAGCCACACTGATATGTGTCACGACGCAGAGGAATCAGGCTCTTGTCAAATTTTGGACATGTGGAGTTATTGGTATCATTTTAAAGCTTGTTCATTTGTCTTGCTTCCGTGAAAAAAAATACTCATCTCTCATGATTAGAAGTCGAGATATTTGCGATTGAAGGAGATGGGGGTCGCCTGGTTTCAGATGTAAAATTAGCGAGAAAATGGCTTCCAAAATTCGGCGACTTCCAAAGTTTTAGAGTCCTTAGAAAAAGGAAATTTACATTTTTCAGTAAAATCCACACAGTAATATGTTTTTAGATAGATCTTATAGGTGTTAAGTCATAAAACTAAAATCCGATAAAAATTGCCAAACTGACGGGAAAATGCCTGTTTCTTCGATTTCATTATTTGGACAAGCGCCTGATTTCACCACGATGCCTCACATAAGCGTCACGACATGGTGGACTCAGCCGCTCGTCAATCTTTGGGCATATGGGGGTTACATATTGGTATCATCTTAGCCCTATCCGTACGCCTTGGAGTCATTTTGTACCCCTCTGGGTTGTATTCTTGTTATTATTTTACAATACTTCTAGTACGAAGATCTCTTTGAAACTTTCAGTATTTCTCAAAAGATCATTTTGACAGACTGCTATGCAAAGCGTACGGATCGGATTAACGAGAAAATTTCCTCTTTGGAAAGTGGTGGCACAGAGTTCCCCACGTCATATGGATACGATAGTAAAACACGACGTACGTATAGGGTTAAAGCCTGTTCATTTGCCTTCCTTTTGGTGAAAAAATACCCATCTGTGTTGAACAGAAGTCAAAATATTTGCAATTGAAGGGGGTCAGAGTCGACTGGTTTCAGAGGTGAAATTAGCGAGGGAATGGCCACCAAAGTCTGGTAATTTCCATATCCCGATAGTCCTTAAAAACTGAAGATTTTCATTTTTGTGCCTTTAATCAATTTTTTTTTCTTCAGTAAAATCCACACAAGCATTTGTTTTAAGCCGACGTAACAGGTGTTGAGGCAAAAAAGAAAAAAGAAAAGAAAAGAAAATTAGAAGGGGGAAAATGCCCTTCGGCTGCACCAATCAGTAACAACAACAGCAGCAGCAACAACAACAACAACAACAACAACAACAGCACAAAGCAGTAACAACAACAGCAGCAGCAGCAGCAGCAACAAC